GAATGGTGCCCTGCTTGTTTACTGATCATGGCGATTAATTGGCATCTATTGCTATTAAACGGCAGGTGATCGCGAGGAATCAAGGAATAGGGAGATTGGTGAAAAATCTCAAAGACTGCTTGATTGTCTCTATAGCAATACAGGTATTAACAATATTAGATAATCATTTCACGTTAAATTAAAATAAGATGCCTTCTTCCTTTTTATTTTTATATCAGATCATAATTTTTATACCCCCGATTGGCAGTCTTTTATTTTGTATCAGATTAGTTTTAATCATTTTTATGCTCCAGATACGGTTTTAATTACCATACCTATACTGTATTCCAAAACTGAAAAAAGGATCCTTATAAACAAAGAAACATAGTTAAATCTTGTTCATGTATGTGATTTTCTGATTTTATCTTCTTTCTTTATCCCCTAGAAAAATATTAACAGCAGTGAAGTAAAAATCTTCAGCAGAACTTTGCAACAACATGTTGAGGAAATGGTATTAATTTTGTCAAATCTAGAGAAAACACACCCAAAGAGTCTTAAGAAAAGTTTGAAATAACAGAAATTTGCCAGATTCGGTAAGTATTAATATGTGACTTTTAAACATATGACTATCACTAGATTAAAGAACCATTCTTCTCTTTTTAAAAACATTATCGACAACTTCTTGCTTGACAAAAATAATTCTATATACATGTACTCGTATTCTTCAAACGTACTTCGTTACATGCAAATAATTCTGATTTTACAAATAAGAACTCTGAGTGTAATAATAAAATGATACTTGCCACGATTATTGTAGGTCTTTCAACAATCTGTTCGACTTTCTGTAGGTAGAAACTGTGTCTTTGTTATATTCTCACTTTTTCAGCACAGATTGTTATAAAGCCATTTTACTCACACTAAATTGTCTGCGGATTTCATCCATTTACCTCGTCATGGCAAGGAGCACATTGTGAATGTGATTGCTCGACAGGGAATGCTTACTCCTCCATGGCACCTAATCCGGTTCTAATATTTCAGGAGGTGTCTGCTTGCCTCGATATATATATCTTTATGTTACATATAATTTTATATTCTCCGTTACACTCACATTTCATACATTTTCAAGGAAAACAAAAAAAAAAAGGGAAATTAGGAAAAATAGATTTGAAAATATTTATTTATTTCAATGTAATGTTAAACTATATTTGCTTGAAAGCAGTTTCACAGCTTTTTATGTCAACTTACAATTGATTGAACACCCTTCTGACCTTACCGTGGGGAAACTGCTCTCATCAGCTTTTTATAGTTGATGATATTGTGGTTCTTCTAATGATGAAATGCTTGTTAAAATCTGGAGTAAATCAGAAGTAATTATTCAAAATAAAAAAAAATCATTTTCCCTCCTATTCACACCTTTAATATTCAAAAATGTTTAAAATGCATAGAATATTTTTCAAAATTAATTTTTTTCAATTACTATGCTTTTTCAAAAGTGTTTGACAGTTTGAAAACTTTTCTTTTCATAGATGCTTAATATGAAAAGCCAAAATTTATTTCCATAGGAACTCCACTAAACTCTGCTATAAAGTATTTTTCAAGTATTTTGCAAATCAGGAAGTACATGTACATATATGTATCAAGAGAAGTATCAATATAATATATATTGAAAATTATTGTATAAATAAATATAAAAAAACAAAACAAATGATTACTTTTATTGAGGCACATGTAACGGTATGTGTACAACTTTTTTTTTATGTCTAGCAAAACTCGACCTCGTTTTAGAATGGAACGTTAATTCAAAAAGAGTAAGACGTATTTTTAACTTTTAGTATTTTTTTTTTTACATTGATTTATTGAAATTTAATTCATTTATATTGTTTCATAAAAGTATAAACTCACAAAACGTATTAAATAATTGGCAAAATTTAATAACTACGCAACACTGAGGCTTTTAGAGGTCTGTGTTTGCTTTGCTCCTAATTTGTATTGTTGCAGGGACTTTTGAGCTTGAATACAATCTCTATATACATGTGTTTCATAATAGTCATAGTTTCAAAATTCCTTTTGTAAAACAAGGCCTGCTTCGATTTTGAAGTAAAGTCACTTCAATTTATTGAATGAAATAACCTTTGTTAATTAAAGTTAATGGAAATTCAATTTCAGAACTAAATCGGAGGTCTCTACTTGACCATCAACTGCACACTCATCAATGCGTGGAAGATTCGTCCGTGCATCAATCAACAATTGCCAGGGTAGTCCAATACAAAAGATCGTATTTTACACGGTTCAGTAGAAATAAAATCAAGAGTAACATAAATGGGAAAAAAGTCGCAATTTGGCACACCTGCAATAGAAGCGATTGAAATCACAGGTGAGGAAAGCGTTAGCGCACTTCTAATGGACAATTGTGTTTGTTTTCTTTGACTCATCCTATGGTTTTGCTGTTCGATTCGTTTCGCTTTACGAGCTATAGAGCCGAAATTAGAAATTATCATCGACATAGAACTTGCAACTGACGTGTGATAAGCTGGAAAAAATAAATCAGACATTGAGAGAAAAATGAGATTGGGCGATTGTTCTCGGTTTAAAGAGTCAGAATCGTCAAGTAGACATCAAAACGCGGGGTTCCCGTATCGCCTTGTCGCTGCACCGACTTTTCACCGGCGAGTTATTTGTTCCGCTAGAGTTTCACGCGATTGTTAAACGCTATCTCTATACCTGTGCAAAAATTGTAACCAATATCAAGAAATAAAGAGGAAATATTAGTGAAAACGAGTCAAAAGATAACGCCATGCTCGACACAAATGAACGTTTAGGTCGCTCGATTTCATCATTTCTGCCGGGTATTACAGACCAGATATCATTAATGTCGCCAATAATTAAAAATGGTCTTCGCCTTTTTACCTCGGAAGATCCATAAAATTATTGCATCTGAATGGACGACAAATGAAGAGAACCTTTCGAGCTTCTGGTTTTTTCACATCAGGGATTTTGAAAAAAGAACTTTTTGTAACTTTCAGCCATAAATGTGGAAAATTTGACTCCTTTCTTTGAATCTGAAAATTTTTATTTGATTAAATGAATCCTGAAATTATATGAAACCAAATTAGACATCAAATTATTATGGGTTTTGGAAGCCAAATAAATCAATCAAGATGCATTCTTTTCACAAGAGAAAACAATAAGTATTTTTTTCGTGTTTTTTTTTTTATCATCATTATGGTGTTTATTATTTCAGTTTAGAGCAGACTTTTTCTCTCCCACAAAAATGGCCAGATGCAGGAATAGCGAAAAGTATTCAAAGGCCAACGTTCAAATGCCGGGCAGCGATGAGTTTCCTTAACAAGGAGGTTTTTAGATGGAGAATTCAACAATGCTGCAAAGGCGTTTAAACAAGAGATAACTCCTTCTCAGACACCAGTGGTCAGTGATGACCCATCAGGGCCTCTCCTTGTTAACATTCTGAGCATTGCGTCGGTCAAAATTGTTCATTTCTGTCCTGCTGAGATTTAACACCCACTGACCATGTAAATTGTCATCGCGTGCTGAGTTGAGATAATTTGACCGCTTAAATTTGTCAGTTTTACCTGATGATAATGAGATAGTCCACCGAACCCTCTTTTCACTTTACATGTTGTTTGAAAAGGGACAAACAAATATAAAAAGAAACAGATTGCTATTTAGTTTGGATTTCTACCAAACTTTTAAAGACACATTTCACTGATTTATTACTCGATCTTGATGTTCACGTGAAAATATGCAAGTAAAAATTCACGATTTTTTTTGCAAAATAAATCTCAATTTAATGCACATACATATAATTTGAATGGTTTGTAGACAATCTTATATAAAATGAAATAAAATGAGTTAATGATATTACAAGCTTTGAGATTGTTGTTGTTGTTTTTTGTTTGTTTGTTTGTTTGTTTGTTTTTTGTTTTTTGTTTTGGTAATTTGGATAAGATAAAATAATTAACATATTATGAAGGAAATGAAACAATATATATTTGCCATCATATAAATACGTGTATCTTATTAATAACCTATACTAGTTCCTGTATTTTTCTTGTCATCTAAAATGAAAGAACTGCAAGTTTTCAGTGAGAGCGTTTAACTGAATACAATAATCTATCCTTTAAAAAGAAATAAGAAAGAATTAATTTGAAAATTTAAGAATGTTGTGAAACAACGACGGAAGAGAAATGAAAAGGCACATTCATATACTCTTCTTCGTCGTTTCAAATCAGGGCAGAATGATTTAAGAAAGTTTCTCTGATTTTATCAAACTTCTCATAAAACGCTTGAACGCTGTTACACAATGTCTCAAAAACATAACCACATCAGGTTAATGATATTAAATTTTATTAACAAGCGTTTGGTATAAACATCATAAGACCGGCGCACGCCGAGGGAATCACATTACAAAATATCAATTTGACAGAATTTTTTTGCAGTTTAAATCACGAAAAATGAAAAGCAATGTCACTACATGAAACAATAACAATACAATATCTCTCCTACAAAATCTAGAAAGTCTATCACAGAGCTACATATTGTTAGTGTAGTATTATGGTAACCATCTGGTATTTAGGTCTAGAAGTCTTGTAATGTCGTGCCAAAAATTGATCAAATATTTAGAGTAACACGAAATGCCACGTGCATGTTCCCATTTACGACAGTTCGTAGATGTTCACACATGGCATCTGATGCATAATTATAGACACAAAACTTTCTTAACAGTCTCTTAGTATAGATGAATAATTAATTTTTATTTCTTAAATCTTTCTTTTTAAATGGTGGGAAAATGCACCTTTACAATTAATGTTCAGTTCATTTCAATTCTCGTTACTTTAAGTTAAAAAAAAATTAAACATTTTACAAAATAATAAATTATTCAAAATTTAGAGGTTCATGAATTTCAAACAAGGATTATATTTACAAATAAGATAGATTGTTTTTCTAAAAGAAGCACAATTATTAATAAAAAATTTTCTGAATTCACTTTAGATTTAAAAAAAAAAATACGTATCATAAAAAAAATCAAAAGTTAAGTTAGCAGTGAGGAAAAGTAAATGATACCCCTACATGTATGATGAGAACTTGTGTAGAAAATCTGCATTGGCAGACCCCAATAAATAATTAGAAAAAATATTCCTTTGACAACTCACAGGTGCAGAATGTCCGAAAAAAGCAGAACGGTTGCTGACCATAGAACTCTGTCCGTTGTTTGCTAGAGGATAAACGGCCCCATTCCTCAACATCTGAGCACTGGACGAAACGTTCACGGCGGCAGGAGACGAAGAGGGGCCCGGGATTTGGCTTCCATCATGGAGCTTTCGCATGTGCTTCTTTAAGTCAAAATTCCGACAGAAACCTTTCCCACACATATGGCACGTGAAAGGCTTTTTATCATTATGGGTATGCATATGGAAGGTGAGGTTGTAGATCTGATGGAAAGCCTTGTTGCAAATGCTACATTTGTACTGCTTTTCTGTACTGTGGGTTAGTTTATGGTTCTTGTAATTTCCTTTCTGATGAAAACCTTTGCCACAGAACTCGCATTGGAATGGTTTGTAGCCCATATGAATTCGCATATGTGTGTTTAGTGTTGAGCTCCTGTTGAAGGCCTTGCCGCATGTGCTGCATTTGTGAGGCTTTTCCGAAGTATGAATAATTTTATGACGACATAGAGTACTTGCCTGGCGGAAGCCTTTCCCGCAGATTTTGCAGACGAACGGCCGGGCGCCGGTATGGACGGGCATGTGTCGGGTCAGATTGTAATGAGCATTGAACACTTTTCCACATTCTGGACAAGTGAAAGTCTTGTTATTTTTTATTGCTGGTTTCTTCTGCTTATTGTTCGAAATAGAATCACTTTTTTCACTATCCTTTTCTTGGGTAGATTGGTCAGTAAATGGTTTGATGTCGTCAATTACTACTGTATCGTTCTTCGCCTCTGTCCTTCTTTTGAAAAGATCGCGTTGCTTTGCATCAGACGTAGGACCATCGAAGCTTTTACTTTTCAAGGTGTTGTGGTATTTGGAAACACCGGTAGATCTTAGCCATTCAAAAGCGTGGTCTCGGGAAGGCAGAGGGGTCATCTGCTGCTGCAGCAGTGAATAATTGCGAAACAGATATGCTTGGTATTCCTCCACCGACATCCTCCCGTACAAAAACGCCGGGTGTACCACTGGGCCATACCCTAACATGGCCGCACTCTGTTCTTGGATGGTCCTCAGATAGTCGGATTTTCTCTTTCTGTAGGTACTTCCAGTTTCTAACCATTCCTCTTCCCCTCTGTGCAGCACTGTTTGGGATATTCTCCGTTGTTGATCTAGAGAATGGTTTTGTTTCGGCGTCCATGCCTTTTCCTTTGTGGCATTCTGGCTTGAATGATGATCGTCATGTGCTGATGTAATTTCGGCATCTTTGGAGACATTTTCTGTAGATGTTGTTTCTATCAAATTTTCTATGGAAAAGGCTAATTTTGGTTTTCGACAAGAATTCTCTTTTTCCGATCCCGGCGATATAGCTCCATTATTATCCATTTTAATCTGCAGATAAAAAATTTAAGAATAATTTTGTTCAGAGAAATTCAAAAAAAAAAAAAAAAAAAAAAAATTACAAGAATGAAAATGAAGAAAAAAATTTTAAGTGTAAAAATACCTCATTAAAAGTAAATTCAAGCAAGGAATGTGTTTCATTTTTGCAATTTGCATTTTTAAAATGAAGTGAAAGTTTTTTTTAAAGCAAAAATAAATAATTTGAAATTAAAGATTAAATCAGAAAAAATATAAAATACTCTAAAAATTATTAAGAATTTTAAGATAAACTTCTAAGTATTAAAAAGGAATCTTACCTTTTTATCAAGATGTATTAAAGCCCAGGCGCAACAAATCTGTGTTTTTCAGGCAAATGACAGAGAAGAAGTGAAGTAATTCGGTATTTACTTGTCAACTTTAAATGTGCCCCAATAAGGTTCTAGTATGCAAGTCAATAAATTCATTATTTCAAATACAATTTTTTCATGTCTTTAGGTAAAATTATCATTAACCAAGGATATTCATTGATTTTGATAGGTTAACTCTCCTAATGGGCGACGGATGTTTTCCTTTAATTGACCAATCAAAAGCCACTTCTCATTTTGACTGCTAACCGCAGTCATTTTAATGGAGTTCATTAGCTATTGACGGTCCACCCTCCATTGAAGATCCAAGACAGCAATGAGGCAAAGAAGGCGGGACTTGACAAGACTTGGAGAGGAACCATCGTTATCACGTCAGAATAAATACAAAGCTTTAGATAATTCATTCAAGGGTGGTTCTGTCTTGTTAGCGAAGACTGAAAAACACGCAAAAAGTCTCAAGAGAATTGGAGGGTACGGTTGTTTGATAAAAAATGAATTAATGTGGTATAGCTATACCTCTGGTTAAATAAAGGTTTTAATGAAAGACCACAACGGTTCCTGATCATCTTGAATTCAGAGTAAAATACCTCTATTAATAAGACATAAAACTGAGGAGATGAAAGATGAATTTGGCAGGTGCGTATTGAATATTTTGCTTTATTTTCTTCAAAAAATGACAACAACATGAAACATCAAGGTCCACAACACAGAGCTCACTTAGATTATTTTATCAATTTTTTAAAGTTTTCAAAACATGAAAATATTCTAAACCTAATAATATTGACAAAGAATTTCTTAAAGTTGATTCTCCCTCTGAAACATTTATAAAACTATCACATTCTTCCAAATGAAATTATTTTTGGAAAAATGTTATGCATACCATTTCCATTTGATTAATTATCATAGTTTTACAAACCTTAAACAGAATTCTTTGACATTTATATACAGTTTAAAGATAAAATATAGTTTATTCAAGTGCTATGTCACTATCCTAGTATTCATGTGTCAGGTTGCCACATTGCACACATATATAATTGCATGTATCTAAAACAAGCAATATACAGATAAATTGCTCTAGAGGCATATTAGACAATGATATACAAGCAAACTGATATATGAGACAATATAATCAGTAATTTTGATTTGCAACCTTATTTCTTTATTCAATCAGGTTATGTATAATCATTATGCAGTCAGATATGCATGTCTCTTGAAGACATAGAGTAATTTTTACACTAAAATTGTATTCCATAATATAATTTTTTGGAGTTACACATGCAAACTAATTGGAGAAATCATTGTTTGCTTACTCAGTGATCTGGGTAAAAAAAAAGTCCATTTGTGTTCAAATTTTCGGATTACCAATATTTCAGAGAAAAGATAATGATTAAAATTAAATTGATATAGTATATTAGAAATTTGCTATTTCCTGCATGAATGTGATTTTCTTTTTATTTTAGATTTAAAAATAAAACTGGCAATCAAATATACAAAAATGATCGAATGAAAGAAAGGAAGAAAGAGCGATTCAATTTTCTAAAAATGTTCACAAATTCTGGTCATGGTGACACTATATCTGTCCATATGCGGCAAAAATGTGCGAATTAAGTTACCAGAATCAACTTTCTATTCAAGAGGAGTGTAACTTAATAAACACTTGCCTACAAAAGACCGTATTGTTCATGCCACATTTGACCGAATCTCGTACATTGTCATTCGTATGCCCTCGGGAGGGTAGGAATCATCACAGCTAGTATCCTAATCGCCTTGTAGGGGATCAAGTCATTTATTAGCGATTTAAACGATTAAACACACTGTAAAAAGGCTAATAATGCAACGATGATCATTTTCTCAGCCCTGTAAAAGCTAAAAGGGACAGTCCGAACGAAAGATGGTCTTTAAAATTTGTACAGAAATGCCGTGTATTCACGACGGGTCAGTTTTGCAAAAGGAAACAAGATTTTATCTTAAGTGTTCTGAAATTGAATAGTGGTACTTTGTCGATTCACATGCCAGTATCAATAAAGTGTTTTTGATGATGTGAGATGTTTTGATGTCTTGTCTGTTTATAATTATTGCTGAAACTCGTCGCTTCTCGTTTGAAGTCGGTGATTATGTCTTATCCACCCGGCAGGCAAGATAAAGTGTACCTCGCTTCCAACGAAGTTGTGGATTAGCGAAGGCACTTCAGTGCAATACTTTACATCAGTGAAATCGACAAGAAGATTAAAATTAAGATGAGGCGAAAAGTCTACACTTGAATGACACTAAAGTGTAATGGATACAATAACTACCAGAAAAAAGATAAGGATTACGTTTGAAATGACCAGACAGCTTTTTGAAAAGTTAACAAGTGCTCCAAATTTCATAGAGTCATTTCTGTTTGTTATATGTGTTTGGTAAAATATTACGAACCAAAAAAGTGATTAATAGTGACATATTACAGATTTTTTAAAAGTTAACATGTGTTTCAAATTTAAAAAGAGTTATTTCTGATATGTTATATGTGTTTGGTAAACATTTACGAATCCTACATGCAAGAGAAATTCTTATCTTACATGTAACTTCCCAAAAATGTATGTCAACATGCTAGATAATGATGTCAACATGCTAGATAACCGTGTTTAAAAGCCATTCACATTTATGAATTTCCTTAAATGTTGGTAAATTTATATTTTTATGCCAGAATATGTCATCATGCATACAAAATGCAACATATTTATGTTAGTAATAATCACATGAGACTTATTTATGTCGCCATGCGAGTTAAAAATGAAGATTTGCGACTTATATATGACAACCTAATTCATTATTATGATGTCATATGCGAGCTAAATTAAATACATATACTGTATATAAGTAAACAAGCCAGATATGAATTTGGATACTAGTATGTAGCGTTATATTGCATTTTGCCATAAATATCATGCAAGTTTATGTATAACTCGATGGCATACTGACAATAATAAGTTACTGTCAATATGCATGTTCATGTAAGTATGATGCATCCTATGAATTCACTTGGATTAAAATTAATAAACCGCACCTCAGTGTACAGATCTTTCAGTAGTATGTCTACATAATTATTTTGCTTGTACCTGTGTATATATGAATAGGTTATATGAATATTATAAATATAATTTTGTTGCATCTTATACCTTTATAATGATGTCATATTTAAGCATTAGAAAATTAATTTACCATTATTATATTACAGGAAGGAGGTATGGTTTCCATACAAATCCTGCCCTGTGATTTTCTAAAAAAAAAAAAAAATGAAACTGGTGTTAAAGATGAAAACTCATGATTTCTGAATCATTAAAATTCCATGCAGAAAAATCTTACAAATTATTTTCTCATTTTTCTCACAAGTGTTTTTAATGCAATTGTGACGTCATAAACTTGTGCATTTTCCCGTATTTTCCTAAAAAGTTGCAGAAGACGCCAATTTTCAATGGAATTTTCTTTAAGATAATATTGTCCACAGGCATCGCCCACAAAGTTTTTGAGATTTTTGAGATGTGATTTCATATAGAATTCTGCACAACATATAAAAAAAAATAAAAAAAAAAAATAAAGGGCGATGGCTGTGGACACTATTTTGTAAAGGAAAATTACCCTTGAAATGGGCTATGTAGAGGCTTTTTTCTGTTTAAAATAGAGAAATACATCACATTAATGACGTCATATTTGCAGAAAGGTAATCCTTCATGCCATATTCTTTTCTGATTTATCACAGTCATATACTTATCTAATATTTAAGCCAGTTTCAAAACTTTTTGATGAAATTACATTTTAGGGCACAATAAAGCTAAAACTGTACCTTCTTAGTTTCTCTAAAAAGGAATTGGTGACTTGAATGTTAACATGGGTATTTTACTTGTAGACATATTTAGTATCTTACATCTTTACATACTTTTCTGGCATGTTGGCATAATCTATATTGCACCACAGAAGACATATATGGGTGACATTTGATAATTTATGAAAGATTTCCAAATATTTGATTTCTGCAACATTTCATTTCAGCTTCAACATTGCTTAATATTGCCTTCTGATTTATTTATATTGCATGTTGACAAAATATTCTAAACGAACAAACAACAAACAGAAGTATACCATCATAGGTTTTATAATATATAATACTCAGTAAATTACCATTTTTATACTAATAAAATAAAAAATAAACAACTAAAAGTAAAGCATTTTAATTATGATAATGATAAGAATTAAATAAAATTTCAATTTTTAAAGAAATGAGATTTCTTTCTATTTAAACATGTGAAGTTAAAACTTACTTCTTAGTCCATAATTAACCTCTCCTTACGTTAGTTGGCATTCCTCATTTTATTCCAAAACATATCTGAAACATAATGAAAATACCATTTGATAATTTTTAAGAAAACGTATCATTGTAACACAAAACGACAATAGAAATCTCCGATAAAAAAAAATGTCAGTGACCAATAATTAATGAAGAGTGCAAATACCCTACAGTATAAATCTGATTGATAAACTATAATTATAAACATGTAAAATACTTTTAGCAAGATAAATATCTTGCGATTTGATATAAAATTTTATATATCATGTATCTGTTCAAAGTCAAAAAGACAAGAAATAAATTAAACCATTAGATATGTTGTACTTTAAGAGATAAAAATGTACAAATGTTTTTTATCCAGCCTTAAAATTTTCCCACGATATTTATTTCTATCAGAACACTGAATTATAAATTAATGGCATTCATTTAACAAGAAAAAGATCGAAATTCTATCTTACGTAAATACATTTAAATGAAACATCAAACAATTTATTTGCACATCGCTCTTTTCTTAATCATGCATTTGGAAATATATACGGATTATTGTTATTAGTATAGTGATGGTTGCTCATTCAAACAACATCGTAATTTTCAATTGTTGAAATCACGTTCCCGATCGTCTTTTCTCCGAGTCCGATTAATATTGTAACCCTGTTAAGAACATTTCCTATTTACACACCTTTAATTGAGTAACGTAGAGAGGATTGCACTAGCCAGA